GTCTCCTGTAAGACTTGAACTTTTCATTTTATGACTAACAGATGTTTAGAGGGTAAGAGTTACATACCCTGTCTGGTGCAGATGAGTGATATTAATGGTGTCACAGTATCTAGAAATGCCCTTCTATTCCTCCTGATTATCATATTCTCAAATTCATCAACATTTAAGTTATTATGAATTACAGTTCTAGAGCTTTGGTCTCTGTTTTAATGTCATGTACTATCTAGCTAATCTAATATTATATACAACAAAAGGCATAAATTAGAAATTCTGGCAGGTCCATTCACTTTTAAGGATTTAGAAAGAATCTGGCTTTGTCTCTTGTGTGATGATGACACAGAGTGAGCCCTAGCAACAGTGACAGCCAGAGCCATTTATATAAAACTACTTACACTAATAATGCACATGTTGATTTCCTGGGAAAATTGGAGAGATGGGGTTATTTTTTCATATAAATCAATGATGTTCAGCTTCTTCAAAAACAGAGCATGACATGCACGTACAGATCAACAAGACTGAGGGACATTCCACAAAAGCAGTTCAAGAACAGAGCATGAACAATCCAAAAAAAGAGAAGAAAAATCTTCAACATTTTAAGGATCTTGATGGGATAATTGGTGTGCTGTGTGTATAAGAGTTACATATATGTGTATATGTTTAGCACACAACTAAATTGACATAGATATACTACATGCATATACTTATCTGGACTTCCTTAGGGAGTATTTCCGTGACAGTGATGCTATTGTATGGTTTGATTAAGTATAAATTGAGCATTATTAATAAGTAGCAGTCCCTTTCACTGAGTGAAAAATAGAAAAATCTTTATATTGAAATGTTAAAAGCTATACTAAACCTCTAAAATTTATATGTAACTTCTAAGAGTTCCCAATCAGATGACAAGAATTCATATTTTATCTTCCAATATTTACTGAGTGCTCATATTTCTGATGTGATTCACAATGATGTTTAGATTGAGGAATTTAAGCCTGGACATTCCCTCTTCCTGATTTCTAATTAGTACCACAAAGAATTCCTTCAGATATTTGCCCACAAATGATTTTTTCCTATTTCCTCTTGGTTCTATAATTGAGAAAATCTACAGTTTGTTTCATGGAAAGGATAACACAATGTGTTTATCCCAAAAATGCTAATTGTTCTCCAAAAACTCAGTGAAGATGCTGTTCTCTGTGCAAATACGTTGTAGAGGGAAAATGAATGACCCTGTGTCACTGCTGATGTAACACATAGACTTTCGCCAAATGTGCACTAGAAATTCCATGACTTGTTTCACTAGATCCCCAGGATGCCCATCACATTAGGAAGAAGGAACCCCAGAAGCACGAGTGCAGGTGGTGGGATAGAGTTAGGTCTAGGCTTTTCCAGCTAGGCATGTGTTATTCAGTGAAAAACAGTTTAAACTGACCAAAAGCCTGAGAAAATTGGGAGCAAGTAATTTTGGAATATGTGGAAGATGGGCTACTATAGCATCAGTGTAAAGAGTTATGGGTAGGGAGATTACAGCCTACTTCACAGGGTGGACATGGTGTAAGGAAAGAAAAAGAAGTTGAAGAAACAATGGAAGTGAAAAAGACAACAAAATGTAGGTTGGAAGATTTTCCATAAACATACAAGACAGTGGTAAATCACTGGAAACCAAAACGATCTCTGTGAGATTCCTAGAATGTTGTGGTTTCTTTCTCAGATATTACTTATTCAGGTAGAGTTTCTACTGTTGTTTTGAAATATGTTTTAATTTTTCTTTGGAAATTTCACACACACACACACACACATGTACATATATGTACAGTGTATCTTGACTTTTTCCACCCCATACTTTTTCTCCACCCCCTCTCTGGACACCTACCCCCAAACATCCTCCTGACAATCCTTGTCTTTTTTTTTTTTTGTATTTTAATTCAAGTTTTAGCCCTTTGAGTCCAATTAAGGATGCTCCCATGCACGTGGCTATGAGGACATCCACTAGGGCACAGGCAACCTACCAGTGGCCATTCCCCCAAAGAAAAGTGATTCTCCCTCCCATCAACCACCAATAGCTCTAGAACTGAGGTCCCTGGAGCTGCCACCCACCATGTTTGGTTGAATTTTTAACTGGCCTGATGCAGTGCAGGTCTTGTACAAGTAACTTCAGCTGTTGTGGGTTCGAGTGTGCAACAGCCATGCCAAATCCAAAAGATGAAATTTCTCAATGTTTCTCTTTCTGTTCCCTGAGGCTTGGTGGAAGGTAAAAGGTTGATATCTGTGGCTGAACACCATCAGTCTCTTATTCTCCACACTTTGAAAAGTTAAAAGATTTTTTTGTTGACTTACAAGGAGATTTCCCCCCATTTAATATAATCTTGGCTTTACACATGGTATTTGAAGCCTTTGTTATGTTGAAATATGTTCCTCCTTTTCCAGGTTTCCTTAGGTCTTTCATGAAAGGAAGTACCATTTTGTCAAAGGCCTTTTCCTTCTATTGAGATGATTTCTGCCCTTGATCCATTTACATAGGTTACAACAATTACTGATTAACATATATTGAACCATCCCACATCTCTAGCTTATCATGACTATGGTGAATGGCCTTTATGATATGTTTCTGAATTTGGTTTGCAAGAATTTTGTTGAAAAATTTTGCTCTTAAATTCACCAAGGAAATTGTGGCTTTCTTTTTTGTTGTGTCTTTAGGTGCTTTGTGACCATTCTTGTGAATACTCTTTTAAGAAATATAAGTTTCAGAACTACTGGGAAGTTTAGGTAACTGGATTTCACCAGCATCTGAACCCTGGCATTTGGACCTTACCTCTTTTGTTCTGAGTCAGATCAGCTTGTGAGGTTCATCTGGGAAATAAGTTACTAAACCCTAGACATGATGCATGCTTTGAAACTATGGTTATGGATTTACCACAGGAAAGAAACTTCATAACATTTGCCATGTTGCTTGATATGGAAAATCATTTTATATTTGTCAATAGGCAAGTTGGCTTAATCACAATTTTACATTTGTGCAGTGAACATTCCAGAAGAGAGGTTTGGTTTATGTACCAGCTGAAATTCTTCCATGTCAAGGAAGACATAGTGCTTATGAATATTTTGTCTCAATTGACCAAAAATTCAACACAAACTAATATACCGTAACAACTCAAGTACAAACACCTTTGCAGGAAATTACACCTTAGGTATGTGTGAATCTAGGGCTGAAGGGATGGGCATGAACTCCCAGCTCACCTTTCCCTGGAGTGGCTCATTCCCAGTATGATGGTCTTCTTTCTCTTGAATGTCATAAGCTGTGTCCTTGCAGGCACATACTCAGGAAGCTGGACTGTCCACAGCTTCCAATAACATCATGGGCTTCTGTGCCTGAAGATTTGACCCCAGATAATTATACTGAACTTATCACATCAACTCAACCCACACATAGAGTTTTCTCCCAGGGCTTTCCCTAAAAGCCTATAGACCACATATTGGAAATGATGATACTATTAATAAAACATGGACACTATTAAACCAGAAAAGGTGGAAAATGTATACTACCAATAACTTCAGTGGGTGATAACACAGATAATACAGATTTCTATTTTTATTATTTTTTATTTTTTGATATTGTAGTTCTGTCATTCCTGTTGTATCTCCAGGGTCTATTAAAGTAACTGGCCCATAGTAGGGGCTTAAGCATTGACTACCGGATGAAAAATGAACTGATAACAAAAAGTGAACAATTGAAAAGGTTGTTTATTTTATCAAGAAAATAACATTGTAGTACTTAATTGTAGGCTATCGTAAGTCTTTCTAAATATTTTACTGCATATACGTGCATGTATCGGAACAAGCATGCCACAGCATGCTTTTGGAGGTTATAAGACAACCTTGTGGATGTGGTTCTCTCCTTCCAACATTATATGGGTCTCAGAGATCAAGATCAGGTGACCAGACACACACAGCGAGAGCTTTCTCCACTGAGACACCTCACTGGCTCCTCCAATGTGTGGTCGTCTTTTACATAATTTCTCCCCACTTTGAGTAGGAGCTAATTCCATCAAAACCCCACCTTTAAAAAAATACCTGTAACATTTGAAAAAACGAATGCAAAATAAGTGTTTGATGAGTTGCTTAGTTCATTCCCAGAATTTGCAGCTACTGGTCTTAATCCTCAGATGATGAAAAACAAAACAGTGCCAGAGTTTAGCTTTGAAAAGGTCTAGAAACAGAAATTTTGTAATATACTTCAGAAATATGGTGAAACATTTGCTCTTAGTCAAATGTAAATGCTTTCTATTAAATTTTAAGCTCTTATATAACCACTTCCATTTTGATCCCAAATCTCTACATTTTGTAAAGCTGTATGCTCATATCCACAGATACACCCCTGCTATACCCTTACAGAATAATCTCAAAGGAGAAAGTTCCATTCTTGAGCTTGGCATCCCGACAGTCACACTGTCACCATCTGTTGCTTTTCTCTGTTTCTAACCACTAAAGCAGCAAGGAGGATCTGAAACAAATTTGGAAAGTGTTCAATGCTAAGCTTCGGCAATGTCAATGCATATCACCACACTGGACCCCTCATTTCATCTGCTTGTTTTGGATCATACAAACTCAATATTAGAATGACTGAAGTCTTGGGAGAACTGGTGTAATAGAATATCATACTAAAGAGAAACCTTGTTCTCTAAGTATGCCGAATTCTCTTGTGGACAAAGAATAAATTAGCAATATGTTGCCCCAGTTACAAAAGTGTGTGTGTATGTGTGTGTGTGTGTGTGTGTGTTCATAAAGCTGTAGAATATTTGGGAAAAAAAGGAATAAAATAAGATTTGAAATTAATGTTGCATGTAAGAAATAGGGATGGATATATATGTATTCTCATGTATGTATAAATCTATAAATTATTTTAATACATGCATGGCATCTGATACACAAAATTTGGGGGTTTAACCTTTCTAAGTCATCATTTCTAACAGCTGGTGAAAAAAATCCATTATTGTACATGTGTACAAAACACATGGCAAAAGCAACTTAAGGAAGGAAAATTTTACTTAGTCTCACAGTGGGGCTGATTAGTTGATTATGATGGGGAAGTCATGGGGACAAGAATGTTAGCAACTGGTCACATTCCACACACAGCAGGAGGCAGAGAGTGATGAATGCTGGTGGTCAACATTCTTTCTCCTTTTGATTCAGTCTACAAGCCCAGCCCATGGGATGATGCTGCTCACATTCAAGGAGTGTCTTCCATTTTAGTTACACTTTTAAGGAGAAGGTAGCCCAAAAGTATGTTTCCATGGTAATTTTAAATCTAGTGAAATTGGCAGTAAAGATTAATCATCAGTGTTTTGTAGTTGAGTTTAATGTATTGACATATTCACAGCACATTCTTTGACTTTAGTTGGATAATCCCCTAAAGAAAAAATAGAAATAAAATACATTAATATAGTGTTCTCTACGTAGCAACTGCTTAGCTCTTACAGTGACTATCTCAGGGGAGGGTATTTCTTTATGAAGCTTTTGTTCCTTCTATGTTGTGCTATGGTACATTTTTCCTTTGATGAGACTGCATATTTTATAGATTTTTTAAAATTAATTTTAGTTGGTCTACAAAGTAATGGTTTTAGCTGTGACATTTTCATGGATACATCTTTTTGTACTTGCCCATCCTTGTAACTTTCTTCTATCTTCCCTAGCCCTGCAAGGGAAGTACTTAAGGCTACCAATGTAGTTAGCAGGGCAAAAAATATTAACATTCTGTTGAGATTAATGTATAAAACATTAATGTGGTAATGCATGGGTCTGGTCCCTAACTCTGAGTCCTGTACTTTCCCTGTGACTCATTCTGCTTGGTTTGTTTTAAAATGAGGTAAAAGTACTCACCTCAGACTGGTGCAGAGCTTATATGAGGAAGAGAACATCCAAACACTTAAAAAGTATGCAATGTGTAGAAGGTGGTCAAGATACAATCAATAATAACACCATAGCAACGTACCTACATTCTCGAATGCAAAACAGGTAAATACTAGATAATACAATTGAGATTCAAACTAGCAGCAAATTAATCTAGGATCTGGAGCTTATAGTCACTGGGAGACATAAAACCTCTCTGGACCAGGGATACAGGAGAAGATTTTGGAAAATCATGAGGGATATTTTTCAACCACTCCTAGTCACTATGGAAGAGTGGGGGTGTTATCCAGAGGCCATCTCTCTTTACATAGGCAAGAATGGCTTCTTGACCTTCTTAAGCATCTCTTACCTCCCAAGTGTTTAACAGAATGAGGGTGGATATTCTGGTGGTGTTTTACCTTGGTGTTCTGGGAACTATGAGAACCTAGATGATAGAAGGTCTGCAGTCACAATAAGGATTTAAGGCATGGATTCTAATCATTACCTAGTATATTTTATTATTATGTACTATAACAATGGATGCAGTTCAGGGAATCTGGAGTCAAGTGATAATAAATGCAGGCACTAACTCTAAAGGAAATACCTGCCAGGAGGACCAGACCAATGTATAAAATGAATGAGAAAGCTTCTTCATGGGTTCTCTTTCTCCTAGGGGAAAAAAAATCAGACTTCAATTTAGTTCTTGGAGTTTGTAAAGAAAGATGTTGATGTCAGTAATCAAGTGGCAGAGCAAAGCCATAGGGCCAAGTTAAGGAATATTGATGACAGAATCATCTAGATAAACCGAACCCCGGGTCCAGTGCCCTAACACAAAGGCTGTCACAACGATGCCATGATAATTGCCCAGTCCTTCGGAAGAGAAGGCAGGCATGGGCACATACTTTGCAAATCCCAGCTCTAAGAAGACAGAGGCAAAAAGGGAAGAATGGAAGGAGAGAAGAAACAAGAAGGAAGAAAAATAGTAGGAAAAGAAAGTAAACACAGAAATGTTTATTTACCCTCTTTCTAAGGCAAAGAAGAAAAATTCTTTCCTCAGATTCTTTATATAAAATACTTTCAAATACATTTGGTTCATTTCACTACTGAATCAACCCTTTGGGTCAGAATGACTTCAGAAAAAGAAAATTATGTCTTTTTGTATTTTCATAAAGAAGAGATTGGCGGAATCTTAAACTTTAGATATTTTCCACATGTTTGCTTTTTGAAAGATGAAACTCTAATTCAGTCAGTGTTGCTGTCCCATGTTGTTTCTTTCCTTATAGGGCTGCCATAATTGGACCTCTTAGAATCAGCAAAAGGAAAGGACAGGCTGTCTCCATACCTTTCAGTCTAGCCGACATTTCACAATTCAGTCTTTGAACTGCTACAGTGAGACACTAAAGAATGACTTCAAAGACAGAAAGACGGAAGGAATAAAGAGTTCCCCTTGGAGGGATAGGTCAAATGTTTGTGGATGGATTCCGTGATTGCAAAAATCCACTCTGGACAAAGAATTTCACAGTCATCTGATGAGAATTCCAGAACTCCAGGCTTATATGTCAACATTGTATGGCTAGGCTTTACTGGACTGTGTGTATTAGAGATAACCAAGCAGTCTATTATCCAGAATTGATTAGGGATCTGAATATATTTGGATACCTCTAGTTCAAGAAATCCTCTAACTGTGTTGTGCCCAATTTCCAACCTAAAGAAGATGCACTATTCAGTACTTTTTTTCTTTTCTACATGAAAACATGAGACCTGGTATCGGTGTGTTCACACAGATATGCTCCCTGAGGGTGACAGGATAGCAATCAAACACAAGAAAATGAGTATGAAAAATCTCTGCTAGTGCTATGAAAAAAAAAAAACAAGGCGAAGTGACAAGCCAAGAGAGAATGGTGGGGACTGTGTTATGCTGGGTGATGAGAGCTTCTGTTGAATATTCAAGGACGTTTGGGGATTTGAATCCAGGTGAGACTCCTCAACAGAAGCCATGTGAGGCTATCTTTGGAGTCAGCAGAACGGTTAGAACCCCAAACCCCCAAGTCGGGCCTCACTAATTATTTCTTTCACTGACTTACTTAACATCTCTTATTTTACTTTCTCTATTTGTGAAAAGGAAAAAAAATGACACTAACAAAAGTCATCCTGTGGAACTGTTAAGCACTGCGCCTATCATTTAGTGAGAGCCTTATGAAAACTGGCTGTTCTTGCCAGTATTATATGCCATGATGGAAAAATAGATCTTCCTCATCTCGATTCAAAGACTACTTGTGGTTCCCTTGAGCCATTGGTTACCTTATAATTATGTCTTTAGAAAGCTTTGGATCCATGCTTTGCTCTTTCACTCCACTGCCAAGGAGCTGAGAGCCAAGTCTGTGGTCAACCACTAACAAATGTAGAAAACTTTACGGGGTGTCTGATTTATTCTGTGACCCAGCCTCCTCCTCAGCTGGATGTTTTCTTCTCTTCAATCATTTGACTTCTAACTCAATTTCCCCATTTCCTGGCTTTGTATTCAATTTCGTTTTGTATTACATATGTTTATGAATCATTTGTGACATGTTCTGTCTAAACAAAAAGTCACTACTACAAGACAAAAATCGAGATGGACGAGTTGAGGGTGAATGTCACCTGCAGAGAAACTTTCACAAGGAGAATTTGTTTACTCACTGGGAAAAGGAAAAGAAAATATCAGAGAACTCACATAGATAGTAATATGTTTGGCTAATGGCTCAGCAGGCTCCACCTTCAACCCAGTTCCAAAGCCAGGATGGATCTTGGTTGCCAGTGTAAACATCTTGAAATCGTGGGATCAGACTAAGTTTATAACAGATTCTGAGTATGCATGCACATTCTGCCACGTTTTACCTTTGGGAGGAAGAGCAATTAATGAATGATCAGTTTACAGTTCACAACTCCAGAGAACCTAGGTAACAAAGAGAACCCAAAGAGAGACATATATGGATCTGCCTAGGAAGGGGAAAAAAACAAGATCTCCTGAGTAAATTGGGGGCATGGAGGGCAGCGGGGGAGGGAGAAGGGGAGAAAAGAGCATGAAAGGGGAATGGGGAAAATGTGTAGCTCAATAAAAAAAGAAAGAACAAGAAACAATTCTAAATATCTGTTCTTCCTTTTCACTGGGAATATTATAGTGTCTGCCCTGGGTGCCTCATTTGAGTCTTTCTGGGATCAGTGTATTCTGCAATGCATAACACATTGGGACAACGCCAGCTGTCACAGTTGTGATATTGGCAATGATATTATTCCAGTGATTCTCAACCTTCCTGATCCTGCAGCCCCAAAGGGGTCACAATTTACAGGCTGACAAGTGATGGACAGCTAATCAGTGGAATTCTTGAAAGACATGTAGGTTAAAATTCAGTTCTGCGATGGGAACAAAATAGTTGAGAACACTTTGTTGTTCAGATCAGTAAGATACACTATAGTTTGAGGAATTCTCATCCCCATACATGTGGTGGCCTGACCCAAGACTGGTTCATATTCATTTCTGATTGCCTCATCTCCCCTGATTACACACCCCTGGTTTGTTGACCCAGTTGTCACCACAGTTTCTCTGAGGCTGAACACTTCTCTTTATGATAGTTTTGTCTTTGACATCACAACTAGCTTTATCATTTCGGTCTGTAGATATGTTGTTTCCTATGACTGTGTATCTTCATAGTTGATGGATTCCACATTATTTGAAGTATTCTGCATGCATTTCATGTTTGTGTGTTTAGGTCAGAAAATTGCTACATTAATCAACTTTACATATATTGCTTGGGTGTTGCTAACTGATGTCTTTGGGGCTGCCATCTCAACCAGCCTAATGGCCCTAGGTCCATTCCTGAGTGGGGGAGTGTGGATGAGGGAAGGCTGGCTATCCAACGGCATTAAAGAAAAGACAGAGACATCTGATCACAACAGAAGGGCAATCAGTTAATAATGAAAAAGAGCCCAGTTTATTGATGCATCATCTTAAGTAACCATCCAAAGTCGGGGGCAATGGCAGAAGACATCTGTTATCATGTATAAAGGTCAGATAGCAACTGTTTCCCTTAATCCTAGAGACACTCTTTTGCAGCACATACTCAGGCCTTCAGGCATTTCACCCTAGCACACATTACTAGCCTTCAGGGTGGGTATAAACTAGCCCTGGCCCAAGTCTATTGTTATTTAGATAGGAGTCATTCTCCATTTAGGCCAGGACATCCTACAGCTGTTAGCTAAAAGACAATAGAAATTCTGGGCATTTGTGTGTATGATATATATGATATATTTTTAAAAGGCAGAATATTTCTTTAATATGTTACCAAGTTCATATTTCTGAAAAGTTGAAGTAATTCCATTTTCTACTAAAAGCAAGGGTTCTTGAATTATGGTCTCTTTAAATAATTTTTCATTGATCATGGAAATAAAAATCTGCCTGTAGCTTATACCTGCTCTCCTCTAGCTATAGGAGAAAAGTAAAAACAAAAAAACAAGCTCCATTCAAATGCATCAGCTATTCAGCTTTCTACTGGGTCGACTATGCTTTTCTTGATGCTTTGTGGCAGCTCTTTATTTATTACAGCATAAACCTTGCATCTGCTGTGCTCATGTTTCCTTTTGCCATGCAGAATTTTAATTGTCCTATGCTTAGATTGTTTTTATTTGTCTTCTTTCAAAAGTTGCTCTGTCTGCCTCCTTTTGACAAAGCCATTGTTAAGGCTGACCTACCTGTTCCTCTTATTTACTGTCAGTTTCTTTAAACGTGTACAACCTTATGCACATATTGTTCTAAGCAAGAACTTCTTTCACTTCATTGCAGTCTTGTTTCTTTCTTTGTTTGTTTGTTTTTGTTTGAAACAAGATCTCAGTATGTTACCTCGGCCAGTCTGGAACTCTGCATGTCGACCACATTAGCCTTGAATTCATAGATACACACCTACATGCTGGGGTTAAAAGCATGTGCTAGCCGGGCGGTGGTGGTGCACGCCTTTAATCCCAGCACTCGGGAGGCAGAGGCAGGCGGATCTCTGTGAGTTCGAGGCCAGGCTGGACCGACAGCCTCCAAAACAGAGAAACCCTGTCTCGTAAAACCAAAAAAAAAAAAAAAGCATGTGCTATATGGTGTCCTTACATTCCTTCTCCCTCATGTCATCACCGTATCACCCTCTCCTGTTGAGCTTCATTATCTTATCTCCTGGACACTAAGAAGCTAATATGTGTTCTCTGCTTTATAATTTTACAGGTGAGCTAATCCCAGAAACATATGCACATGTCACAATAAAAATAAAATATAGTACATGTATGTATGCATAGACTTATGAAGAGGTTTTCATCAGTTTGTATACCTACAAAAGTGACAAAATATGATGGGCTATTCTCTGTACCTTTTTCCTTTATGTCTCAGTGATTTCTTCTTTAAAACTTTTCCT